TTATAATAAATTTTCAATTAATTTTATTTTCAATAATTGATAAAGTGGTAAATTTGACATGAAAATTTCCAGCGTTAACAGATATTTTCATTTTTATTTATATTAAATGAAATACACGTGTAAAGTGTTGAACCATGGTTCCAGATCTGCCGGAACGAAATGCGATGTCGAATGCACACTGGAGACGCAGGGAACCTCAAAGGGTTAACCCTTTTACTGCCTCATCCACGCAGTATTTACCGAATGAATACTGCCCCACGGCCGACTTACGCTTCTATGAATATCTTCACGAGGGATAAAACGCCGATTTCCCGGGGAGGAAATTTGCAGCGGGAAATTTAATAATTCTCATTAATTAATATTTCAGATACAGATTGAGGGAAAAGGGTTGACACACACGGAGCCCGACGTGCGCGCGTGTAGTGGAAATTTTGGGACGTCGTTTAGATAAAGAAACGATGATCCGACCGACGTGCTTTTTTTTCTATTTATTATTATTATTATTATTATGTATTGCCGTACGATAAGAAGCGTGAAGTTAATAAGATAATCGAGAAATTCCGTCGCGAATTTTCCATTTGTTTATTTCAGAAACAAGGGGGAGTGACATAACAACGCCAGGGATGGATCGTTCATTTGAAGCCGAGGCGCACGTTCCTCGCATTGTGAGAAGAACACACCGGCGAGAATGAGATTATTGGCTATCGATGCGCGCGATGGAGAAAAGAAGGCTCGAGCGAAAAGCAATAGAATAGAAGGCCCACCGCCTCCTCCTCCACAAGTGACAATAAAGAGAACACACGCGCGCGCGAGAGAGAGAGAGAGAGAGAGAGAGAGGTTGTCGCTCGAGCCTGTCGTCCGATCGAATTCGGTTTATTATACAAGAGCGTAGAACGCGAACCGAGGCGAGGGTCAGCGACCACCACCGCGTATTTCTCTATACACGACGCGTTTTGCACTCGCGTCTAGCTCGACAAGCTACTCCCTTATGCCCTCGCCTCTATCCCGTCGAATAGAGTCTCTCGCTGACTGACTGACTGACTGTGTATTACCAGCCGCTAGTTCCTCTATTCTCTGCTGGAAATAACAATCCTTGGTCAATGGATTTTATAAATTGAATCGCTAGCTAGCTGACCGTTCGGCCCAAAATCCCCCAATTATAATAATTCTTTCCTTACATATGGTATACTCGTTTTACCTTACTTAGTTTCTAGGGTTTATTCCCCATTAATCGAATTATACCTTTCGATTAAAAAAAACCTATGAAATTTGATGGAATCACCTTGGACTTTAACGATGGATATATTAGCACTCTACTAGAATCCGCAATCTACAGCGATAACGAAGTAACTATCGCACTACCGCTTTATCATACCGTCGTATCAGGGAAAGTTCCCAGAATTTTGTGAGAATTTTCCGACCAAGTACCAACGGTCAGAAACCAAATCCGAGTCTATTCCCTAAATTTCTAACCTAATACAACTCTCTAGTGCGTTATTTCCCTAATTTCCCTAAATTTCTAACCTAATACGACTCCCTACGGCGTTATTCCCTAATTTCCCCTAAATTTCTAATGCAACTCGCGCGAACTCTATTTTTCCGACGAGACACGGTTATCAAACACTGATAACTACAGAACACTTACAGCGCCTCGTTGCAGACAATGTGACAGTTACGCGAACTCGCTGCTTTTAATTCGAACGGTATCAACACCAAGTATACCGATGTTTTAGACGGTGACGTGTCCGAAACATTAAACTAGTTAATTAGGCTAAGTTGCAGATAGGCTACTTCAATTTCGTGCGCCAATTTCGATAGTGGGGCTCTGCTCGCTCGCACGAGCTGTGTGATAACTGTGTATCTTCGTCGAATTGAAAGCGGTGCCTCGCCACGCGTACTTACAATTAGTACACAGTGAGCGACACAACTTTGAACTTTGTCGAACCGTTTCCTTCGAGAGTAGCAGTTTACTTGGTCCGCAACCGGGCGAAACGTTATCTCCATATCGCGGCGAGTTTGATTCGTTCGTTGATCCATCATGCGATCGCGACGAGTGAAAAGAAAAACAAAGAGTCTAGGGACATTTTTTTTGGAGGGGGGGGG